GTTGCAGTTGCAGTTGCAGAGCAACTGAAAATTGAAGAATACCCGTGCAATTAAGAGGTCATAAGCATACATGTGAGTTTGAAAAATCTTACAATCTCTTACTCCAAATGTGCAATAAAAACTATAATAATAATAGTTTGGATTTCCAGCTAATAAGAGATTCATCACTCACTTGATTTCCAACTACAAACCCCACATACAGATTAATGAACATGACGAGTTAGGAAATCACCAATGTGAAATAGTAATCCCTGCAAATTTGCCGATAGAAAAATGTAATTCCCGCATATACAAAACACAAATTTTCGAGTGTATCATTTGCTGCAATTAAATCAGTGTATGTATCATGTGAATTGCAAAATATCCATTTTGTAATTGTAATTGATATGACACCAGAAAGGGCTAACAAAGTTCTCATCCTAAAGGCACTGCCCGAATACCTCGGGGATCAGAGAATACAACTCTAGCGGAAGTAAATAGATACTTGAGGAATGTCTATATCATTGTCCTCATCATCCTCGCATGCTACCACGACATCCAAGTGATTTCGGTAAGGTGGCAACTCCGCCTTTGCCACTTCTCTGGCCAGATCCGCCACCTTCTTATCTAGTCGCTCTTTGTGCCTTGGAAACATGCTATTGAAGAGCAAGCAACTTCCATATGATATACTGTAGGCATTCAGTCCCTTGTCCTTCAACCACTGGAGGAGATCCCTAAGAGTGGGATTACCTTTCAAGACCCACCTGTCCCAAACAGTCCAGCTCATGTCCTGGTGCTTGATAACCTTGGGTGGAACAGGCTCAGCTATAGAGAACAAAGGAAGAGCTAGGTTCGCAAAAGTGTTCCGGTAGTCCTCAAGTTTGTGCCCTCCATCTAGAACCTTGTAGAGCTCAAGGCAGACAAGACCTGTGGCCAAAGCAGTGGAAGTAGCAATTGCAGGGATGATTCTTCCAGCAATGAACTTGGCTTTCAGCTTATCAACCTCTGGAATGCTGTAGTTCCTTGCTCTCATGTTGGCAAAGGCAGCAATAAGATCCATGTGGTAGTTTGTATCATCATCCTGCACATTGACAGAATTACACCAACGAAGATCAGAGAGGACAATTAAAGTCTAGAGACTAACTCGGAGACATATTATCTGAATTCTGCTATATTTAAGAGGTCAGAAACTTTATACAAGGAAAAACATCAAAGGATAGAGCACAAGACAAACAAATATATGTTCCAGCAAAGAGAGGTCCCAAAGAAGTAAACCCAGTATGGCAGTATGCAAAGAGAAGAGAGAGGAAATGAGTTGAACCTTTTCAAACTGAATTGGGTTCATCCTGAATCCTGGTGGTAGGTTACTCCTGTACTTCTCTAATTTTCCAATGAGGTGGTTAATAACTGCTGCATCATCAATAGATGCAGTAGAAAGACTAGTAGCCTTCTCATCAGTCACAATTTTCACATCTTTCTGTGGCTGAAATTCTGGGACAATTACTTTGTCAACAGCCTCAGACAACATTTTAGCATTCTTGACCCAGTCAGGAACTGGGATGCCAAATGTCTCTGCTCGAAGTATAGATGCAGCAATAATAAAGTGGAGGTGACTGGGATCTGCAGTTGAGAACCCAAGCGGATGAGGGAATCGCTTTGGTGCTGACCAAAATGGAGCACCAGTGCTTGTTGCAGCATCTTCAGGAAATGTATAAATCAACTGCTTCACACGGTTAACAAAATAATCTTCAAACCTGAGTACACAAGAGGCATTACATCAACAACTAATACAACCAAAATATTCTATCCTATCATAAACATAAGATTAAGTATTGAGGAAGTACTTTATGCGAGCCCAAGTGATGCAATCCTGGAATGTCTCACATCTCTCCTTGTCAAGGCACTCAAGAACCCGTTCCAAGTTATCCCTAGCTTGAGCATCACCAGCAGAGTTCATAGATGCAGCATACTCAACTGGGTTGGACAAATAGGCATTCACTTCTGCCGGTGTTTTCTCAAGCAAGCCCTCAAACTCAGATCGGGCCCATGTCAAGCAGTGGTCAATATTGTGTGGGAATGAGTGCACAGTGCACATTGGGGCTTGTTTCTCAGGTGGATCTCTGGAGGCACCATAGTTCTCTGTCAGATGAGGAATGACCATCTGGGTGTTGCATTTAGCACCAAGAGTTCCAGATTCAAGAAGTGGTTTCTGGAAATATAGGCACCTCTGATCAACATATAGCCTGGCATTAACATTATCTAATGCATTTACAACCACCGTTAAATTCTCCCAAAAATTGTCATCAAAGACATTTTCTGTTTCAGGACCCACACGATTTTGCAGAGCTTCAATGTTGAGGTGAGGATTTATGGCAGCAGCAGCAGAAGCAGCAACAGTAGATTTGGCCTGACCAATATTCCAATCACGAAAGAGAAACTGCCTACTGAGGTTACTCTTCTCAATAACATCATCATCTGTAACTGTTAACTTCCCCTGACTGCCACATGAAACTCCCATCAGAGCTATATTTTTGAGGAACTCACAGCCCAGGGCACCAGATCCGACAATAAACACCTTTGCATCCTCCATTTTCTTCTGAAGCTTGGATCCAAAAACTGAAATTTGTGCATCATAACGGCAATTCAATGGTTTAAAGTCACTGGCATCAATAGGCTCTGCTGGAAGTGACTCCACTGAGTCAAAATAGAGGAACTGGTGAAAACAAGAAACATGTAGTTAGTAGCTTCCCATTAATGGAATTAAGAAGATGATCAATCAATAGTCAATTTGAATTGAAAAAGGGAGTATTCTTATGGCAACAAAAAATGAAAACTGACACAGGACAAGCCAGAATGAACTACAGGAGTTGAGTCTCAAATTGCAAAATATATGTTTCCATCACAAAGAAACTCAACTGAAAAGTTGTCTACTCTCAACCTCAAAAATGGAAGCAAAGTATTGTGACACTTAAAGGCAACCTTAATATGACTACAACTTCATATGGAAACTATACAAAACATGTCAGTTACTTAGGTCAGGTTCCTAATAAAAACAAAATCTGAATATATGTCATCACAACAATAACTGGAAAAGATCAGAGATTATAGTAATATGTAAACAACAGCACAGGCAAGCAGTTCAAAATGAGAGCAACATGCATATGAATAAGTATTCAAGTAAATGAGGTAGGTAGGAGTAGGAGGGAGAAAATTCTTTTACCTACCTGAAAAAGAGGATGGAATTTTCCAGAGCATGCTTTGACAACCTCTTGACCCACAATACCACCAAACATGGCAGCCATGGGATTCAGCACAGCCCTCGAACCAAAAGCAAAGTGCCTCAAAAGTTTTGGGTTAATATCTTCTAATTTCCCTTCCCCTAAACTCTCATTGATGCTGGCAGCAACAGATACAAGCTTCTGAGCATCTTCTTCGGATCCAGCAACTGGGAAGCAGCCTAATTCAGAAACAAACTTATCCAATGCTTGGAATGCCAAGTGAAGTAGAGGTGGGCGATCAAACTTTGAGAAATCACTCAGAAGAAAGTCACCAGGATCTTTAAGTGCTTCTCTCAAAGGCTTGAAATTCAGCACCTTGGGCTGTTTCACCTGGGTTACAATACCACCTTTCACATATGCACCAAAATTTGTTGTGTCCTCTTCAAGTGTGAAAGAGTATGGCCTAGCATTTCTAATTTTCCTTGGTTTACCATCATTGAGTTGTGTCATTCCCTGAACTTCAGAGAACTCAACAAGATCCCCATCCTGAAACTCAAGCCTTTCATCATCAACACAAGCCACTAGGGCTGGGTTATCATTGCTAATGGATGCAATTATACCCGTGTGGGGCTCCTCTCCATCAACATCATAAACAGTGAACTCCGGACCAAAGTCACAAAACACAGAACCAAAAAGTCCTCTAACTTCAGCCTTGATGAAGGATATAGGAGGTTGATGGCTATGACAGTAGTCATTGAACTCAATAGCTGTCTGAAGACTGATGTCAGCGAATACCACAGCCTGCAGACAGAAAGAAATTAGGTGCATAAACAATCTGATATATGCAGAAATACAGGGACCATGCAAATGCTATGGAAGTAAAACATTTATCCAACTGATAAAGCTACAACATTAAAGTAGAGAATGTATCAAGAAATTTAATTGTTTTACAATAGCTGATGCTGCTTGAACTCTTCTACAAGGAGGAGAAACAACTACTTAGAACACTGAGAAGTAGACCTAATTGATCCGCTTAACACTCTCGGTTGAACATATAATGAGAAACAAAGGAGCTTGGTATATGCTAAAACAAATTGTGCGCCTCATAGAATAGAATGAATGTATCAAAACTAATTCCATCATCACATTTCTAAGAGGTTACAACTGATTACAAGGGACCATAAATTGCGAAAAAAACACTTAATGGGACCAATTCAAATTCAATGCATGGTATGTCTGAATCTGGTAGCTTGAATTGGGGGAATAAAGGGATTAACCAATACATACATATATATATATATATATATAACGTAAGAGATGGGAAAAAAGTACCTGGAAATTAGAAAGTTGTTCCTTGGACAATGGTGCTGTTAAGGTGGAAATGACCACAGCATTGTTGAGCTCTTGCAACTTCTGAACAGAAGCAAGGGCCCTGTTCTTACCAACATCACTCTCTGTGAAAACAAAATTACTGGACAAGTCCCACAATTCAACCACTCCTTCATCATGCAAGGTCACAGACTTAACACCAGCTAAAATCAGATTCTTCGCTGTAGTAAGAAGAAACAAAAATCACAATAAAAAAAAATTCAGCATTACAGGGAAGAAATTCAAATTAGAAAAACTATCAAGAAATTTCAGCCACCATCAACCTCCCATCCGTTCGCTGCATGAGAGATGCACTAGACAAGAGAGAAGAAGAGAGACAGAAAACAACCCAAATTCTAAAAATTCATACCTTCCGCACTCTATCATTTCTATGGCATCAAATTATCAATACAGCAAATAACAAGCAACAATGGCTATATTAGAGAGGCATCCAAAGAACGATCCAGAAATGTATCTTCAGATCATAAAACCAACAAAAGTACACAAGTACAAAATTAAGAACTCCAGAATCTTAGAAGAGCAAAATCAAGATCCGGCATGAATCAAACAAAATTCAATACCAAAACACGAAAGAAAAGAAGGAAGACAAAAAGGAATTTCAAGAGTCAATACCAATCTCCGCTCCCAGACCCTGCAAGCCAGAGACAAGGATATTCGAAGCAAAAAGCCGTCTCATGGTTTCTCGGCCATACACAGCAAGCTGACGGCTGTGCAGATCCTCATCGATATCATGGTTTGCGTCGCCTGGAGCCATGATTGATAGATCGACGTCGCTACTGGAACTGTGGTTGTGGCCGTTGCGGCTGATGGCTACTCCGTTGTTATTGACAGATTCGGTGGTACGCTGCTTCTTCACAGAAGATGCAATCGGAAGCGCGCTTTCGTTGTCGTTGCCTTTGTTCGTAGTTTGACTCTCTCCTAGGACCGCTCCTTCACCAGCTCTCTTTCTAGGAAGCATATAGAGCAGTAAACTGCAGAACACACCACAAAACCCCATAGAAATCATCATCATCATCATCAGTTTCAGAAACCTATCAGTAGCCATACCACACTCTCGCAGCAAAAATCCAACAAAGATCGGCAACAAAACCATAAACCCTAACCATAACCCTAATCTCGACATCATGATGAATGTCCTGATCAAACCCAAGCACGATGTTCTGATCAAACCCAAGCAAACACTACAAGCAAAAGACTATAAAAGAGGAAGGAAGAAAAGAAACATACCAATTATGACTCCGATTAAGAGAAGATTGGAATCAAAGGGAAGGATGGAGAAAGTCTTCAGCTCCAATTTTCCTAAGGATTGTGCTTCTTCTGTGTTGTTCAAGGTTACTGAATGAAAAGAGGAATGGTCATGTGTGTGATGGATCATTTGATTTCATATAGGGGGAGAAAGGAACAGTGGAGGGATATTTATGGTTTTGCTTGCAAAATGTTTCGTTTTATTTTGGGTTTTTGTGCATTTGCTGTGCTGTGGAATGGAAGCCACCTCCATGACCATAAGAGAGAGGAGAAAAAGAGGAGGTTAAAGTCAAGTCTAGGGTCTGTGGGGTGGACCCTATAAGAGGAAATCAATGGCCACTGATTGAATCAGAAATGACATCAGAGCCGTTAGATCAGATCGAAAATGAGCGTCCGCGTTTGATCATCATTTCTTTGTGCACCAACCGTATCAGATTGTCACTCGGGTCGACTCGGTCCCACTTTTGCCAGTTACTACGACCTTTCCTTTTTTTTTTTGGTTTCTCGTCGGTTAACCTGATCTGCGTCGCGCATCTGAAAATGGTGGGTAAGTCTCTTAGTGGGACTGCTGCATACACAAGGGTTCGAACTCAAAATCTTGCTTAAACTGAATAAGTCGCTTACTACTTGATCCAACCCCTCATTGGTACGACCTTTCTAATTTCAGCTACATGGTGGTAATTTGTGGCGATTATGATTGCTAATACTTATATACTCCTAGTAATTATTATTAGATGTTTTAATATTTTTAATATTAAATTATATATATTTTTAATATTAAAATTATTAAAATATTTAATAATTATTATATAATAAATTTAATAAAATTAAAATTTATATTATATTTTATATATCATGTAATTATTAATAAATATTTTAATATTTTTAATATTAAAATCTCTTATTTTCTTTGTCTTTTGATATTAATTTCTCCTTACTTTTTGTTAGTTATTATTAATTCTTTTAGGTGAGAAGGAATATATTCATTTCTTTCTGCGAACTTTCTTCGTCATAATGCAAGGGACCGGAATAAAGTCAACAAAGAAAAAAGTTGAGGGGGAAAATGTAAAGAAAACAAAAGGAAGTAGACCCAAGAATGGGACCAAAGCATCAACCTAAGGATGGAATGATATCAGAAAATTATTTTGGGCATCTAAGATTGTCTCATGGCCCATATCAGACAAATCCGGGCTATATAGCCCAAAAAGTTTTACTTGAAAGTTGCTTGATGTAATGTAATCAATCGTTGAGCTTTGGAGATGGGTTGGGCTGAGCTTTTATGCACTTTCATTTTTTTGGTTCTTGTTCTGCAACTATGTCCAGATTGGACTGAAATTGGGCCTAGTTTGATGATTCCAGTCCAGTGGCCCAATTCGTTCGCGCTGAGCTGACTACCAAGAGAGGGACCAGATGACTCAGAAGAGTTTTTTAATTGTGTGGCTGAAGCTGGAGGTGTAAGAAGTCAGATTTTGAATTGACTAAGCCACATGCCATAGCATGTGAAATGCTTAAACTGATAATTGATCATGTGAGCTTTGTTGGGTTTACAATGGGAATGCAGATCTGTTCAAACATGGATAAGAAAATGGGGCAAAAACTTATTTTTAGCTCCTCACTTTATAAAGTTTGAAGGTTTTAACCCATTATCTTATACTATGACACTTTTAACTCCTCACTTTACTAGATTTATAAGTTTTAACCCCTTATCTATTAAAATCGAAGAAAATAGTCCTTATTTTATACTTACTGTTAGCTCTATTAACTGAAAATAGATTTTTATCAACTAACAGTCAACTAATAACCAATTAACAAAATTAACAAAATATTATAAAGTTAATTCTGTTAACTCTGTTAGCTATCAAGCTGTCGAAAATCGCAAAAAACAAAAAAGTTTTTGACAGTTAACAGTCAACTAACAATCAGCTAATAGAGTTAACAAACAATTAATTAATAGAGTTAACAAACAATCAGCTGACAGAACTAACAAAATATTACAAAGTGAGGGTTATTTTCTTCAATTTTAATAGGTGAAGGGCTAAAAATATCATAGTATAAGGTAAGGGGCTAAAAGCTATAAATCTAGTAACGTGAGGGGCTAAAATGTCATAGTATAAGATAATAGGCTAAAATCTTCAAACTGGGGCTAAAAGTATACTTTTGCCAAGAAAATGGAGGCAGACACCAACTCTCCCACATTCCCCTGCCTAACATTGTCGAAATTGTTCATTTCTTGGTCAAAATTTATGAATTGCCACATGGAATTCCATGTATTCTGTAGTTTAGCATTTGCCAGGTTTCATCCTCCATGAGACACAAGAACAGAGTAAGAGCCCTTTGGGTCCCTCAAACACACCACCAGAGGGACAAGATGATAATTTAAAAGATACAATTCCCCTTGTATTACTCAAAACATGTAGGGACATAAGGCCACAAACAACCTCATTTTCTTATGCTTTTTCCCTTTTCCAATCTAACAATCCTAGACTTTGTAACCACAACAAAATGATAGACCGCATACATCCAATTGCAAGAGACATGTCATGAAGGCAATAACATGACAATTGAGCTTGTTTTATTTTTACTTTTTGGCTCCCAAATTGAAAAAGAATGATATGAAATGGCAAGAAGAAAGAAGATGTATATATCTTGACTTATGTTGGTTAAAAAAAATTTAAGTTACAAGCTTGTTTCCTCTTCTTTGCAGGATCTACATTTCATGGCATCATGACTTCATAAGAAGGCAAAACCATTTTTGCACCAATGAGATCACATTTCATAAAATATTTTAAAGAATTTTTACCTATTACTGTTATTACCATGGTTGTTTGGCCGCAGCAATATGGATAGAATTTCAGAAAATTGAGGTCGCTTTGTTGGGGTACTGTTCCAGCACTTGGTCATCAGGGATTTCAAGATTTGGGGGCAGTCCTTAGGGATCTCTGGTCTTAGGCCACAAGTAGCTATTCCCACAGCTGCCTGAACAGGTGAGCATGAAGCATATGCTGCCTCACCAGTTACCATCTCCCAAATTACCATACCAAAACTATAGGCGTTACTCATCCATGTTTCGGTAACATTCTCTGGATCCCCAGCAATGATCTGTTCACAACCAAGATGACCAACGGCCAAAAAAAGGGGGGATCAGCTCTTGCATTGGAAAGAGGACAGAATTTGAATACAAGCGAGCTAAAAGATGAATCACATGCATTTATGAAGATAGTATCAAGGTCACAAGCCAACCATCATATGTAATAATGAACTTAAAAATCAGGGTAAAATCACTTTTATAGAGTTCCTCTACAACATAAAAAGAAGAAGATAGTGAAATTAAATTCAGAATATATTTTCACTGGCAAAATTTTGCCAATAAAAATAAAGGAAAAGAAAGAAAGGGCACTAACTCTATACTCATCTAAAACTACATGGAATACATATTAGTAGCTTATTTTGCTAAAAGACACTCCGAAATATCAGGATCAAGTTGTGGCCCTCTAGTTGTCTCTTCAAATTAGGTCTGGACAAGGACCATACTACATGCCATAAGATTAAAAATGTTTCAACATGTGGGCTCCACACATTAGACCATTTTGCTAAAAGTGGCACACTTACAAGGCTACAATGTTGATGATTTGTTCAATCAAGACTTTAGAGCGCATAAATAAAGGTAGACAGTAGATTCAAGTGTAAAGCAGAACAATCATTATCACATGTTAGGCATGCTCAAACAATGATGCCGGGATTAGTGATATGAAGTCCCTTTTAACAAGAATAAGATTGATCCTAAAAATTATACCCACATACGATGTATTGATATAATTACTTGTTAATGATAATGTAACTATTCAGAAGGTGAATTTTCTTTATTTTAGCTGAGGGTGGGGAAGAAATGACAGCTCGCAAGCTTCTATCATTTGGATAGAAGTCCAATCCATGTTAAAAGTATAAAATATAGAGCAGCCATCTCTGAATTATGCATGCATCATTGATCAGTCACGCGAAAACTTTAGATGCAACCTCTAATGGCAAACATAAAATAGAAGAACCAATTCACTGGACAACTTTTGTCATTACCACAATCAAAGGTTTGCAGTGGAACCCAAAATTGCTAAAGTAGCCTTTAGATCGTCAGACATGATAAAGTAAGGAATAAAAGATTAATTCTCATTAAAAATGATGGAGATAATCTTTTAATAATTTCACACCTTGACATTCTAATAAAGAGGTAGGTGAATTTAAAGAGATGATGGACAACAAGACCACAGCTTCAGGACAGGTGTAAAACAAAATTAACTGGTCTTCCTGCAACCTAACTCTATTAAATGCACCATGATCCATGAATGATTGCCAATAGAGGAACAAGTAAAGTAAAACGTTCTCTAGTCAAGTAAAATAAAGAACACAGAAAGCTATAGCTAAGAGAATACAAACCTCGGGAGCTAGCCACCGGTAACCATCTGTTTCATACTCCATGGCCTCACCGACACTCTTGCAAGCAGTAACTATGCCCATGTCTCCCAAGCAGGCATTACCATGCCTATCTAATAGAATCCTGTGTGTGTTGAGATCTCTGTATGCAATACCATGGTCGTTCATAAACTTGACTCCTTCTGCTACATCAACAAGGATCCTAATTATCTCCTTAGTCTGAAGCTTCTTGCCTTTCAGCATTAAATCCTGAACTGATCCACCTTCCATTAACTTTGTCACAACACACAACCCATGATTTTCATCAATGCAAGCACCATAAAACTGCAGAATGTTCTTATGCCCACAAGTCATCAGCTCCAGCAGATCGTTCCGAAGTTCAAACTCATAAGAATTCCCCTTGTCACACCCTTTCAGCTTTTCAATTGCAACCCTTTTTCCTTTGTAAACTCCCTTGAAAGAGATCGGTCCAACTGGATCAACAAACTCAAGATTGTCTGAGATCAACAGCCATTTTCCTATCTCATCCCCACCTGAGCGGATCGTTTGCCATTCATCAACAGATATGACATATGACGATGAAGGCAAAGGCAATTGAAGCTGAATCTTCGTGTTTGAATTCTCAATCCCATTTCTATAACTCTGTTCACTGGCTTCTTCTTCAATTTCCCCAAAGTCCAGACCTTTAGAATTCCCCTCTTGACAACCACAAAGTCCAAAGGGCAGCTTCACTGTGCTTGTCTTGGGCTTCTTCATAGCAGATTTCAAGGCATTTTCGACCCTTGATTTAAATAATTTATCCTGCCCAGCTTGAATCAAAAGAAGAACGACCCCTAGAGTAAATCCCTTCTTCTCAAAGATCTGTATCTTCTTGCAACAAATAGAAGCACTGTCAAGTGCACCAGACAAAGCCTGAGATGAAATTGACGAATTACAAGCAAATGTGAGTTTGAAAACAGAACCCTGCACATCATCTTCATCATTAGACACCTCCTGAATCAATATCGCAGGGTGTTCATCCCCAGAAGCCTGTTCCATCAATTTTATATGCACAAACACTTCTTTCATATCAAAATCCGCCTGTGCATAGCTGTTAACACACCCAGAAAACAAAAAATGGAAGAGAGAAAAAAGAAGTAAGAATAATGGGTTATTGAGAAAAAGGAAAAACGAATCGATAAAACGAAAAGAATGAGAACCCAGAATTTAGAACACAAAATTTAAATGAAAAACGACTACTTTTAACTGTATTTTAGAAAGGCCATGATAAAAAGAGAACCCATATTGTTTCGCTAGTCTACACTCTGTGAATACTAAAGACGGTAAGCCAATCTCATCTTCTTTCTACTTTCTTGCATTTTCTCGGTATCCAATCAGAAGAGAGAGTCAACAACAATTAACACCCAACCTTAGAGGCAAGGAATCATAATGCTTCCTTATATTGGAGACAAGCTTCTCCGGCAACTGACTTCCGGGATACAACTGCGTCAAGTTCCGTACAACAGTGCCCCAAACGACCTTCCTACAGCTCTCAGGCTTGGCGGGCCCAGAAGCAGCGGTGGGCATAAGGTGCTGATCGCGTGCGGAATCAAGGTTGAGTGAGTTCTTGAGCGAGGCAATCGCCTCCGAGACGTTCCGGCCGAGCTTCTGCAGCCGTTTCTGCATCGGCTTGCCCTGGTCCGTCCTGGCAGGACCCAAATCGGAGCTCTCCGGCAATCCTTCGGATCTGTCGTGGGTCCGCATCAGCACCTGCTCCACCATGTCTTCATCGGTGGTGGTGCGGCTGGACCAGCACTCGAGGGCGGCCGCCATGTCTCCGGTGGGATCGCGGTGCTAATGTGGGTGGGTTTGGTCGCGGTTTAGTGGAATGACGGGGAGTGTGTCAGGGATTGCTGTTGTCAGTCCATTTTGGAAGTGTATTTTATCCAGAGGGGAAAATGAAGGGCGTTGTGGGGTGGTTTAGTTTTGGCTTGGGATTGCGAAGGTGAGAGAGTAACATAATGGGTAATGTAATGTCAGGAAAAGATTGAAATTTTGGTATAAAAATAGTAATTTTATTTTTTTTCTTCATCTTTTCTACATTCAGTAATCATTTTAAATTTTAATTAATTTATAATCGAATCAAATCGAATCAAGTCGAATCTTGAGAGAAGTTTTTGTTAATGTTTATTTTTTTTATTTATAAGAATTAAATTCAAGAATTTACTTTAAAAAAATTAAATTTTTTTATTCAAATTAACAAATAATTAGTAGTATAAAAATAGTAATAAAGTGATTGTAGTATAAAAATAGTAATGAATAACTTAACAGTTAAATATAAATTGATAAATTTAAATTTAAATTTTGAATAAAGTGGGGTAGAATTTAAGAATAAAAGAAGATTATTTATTTTATATAGTTTATAATTAAATGTATTAAAAAAATTTTGATATGAAAATTTAAGATTAATAATGTAATTTATGTTATGTTATTAAATTAATTAATATACATAATATTATAAATTTTTAAAAAATAAAAAATTAAATTATTAAATAATATAAAATTTATTTTTTAGTATTTTTAAATAATGTTATTTTTTTATTAAATTAAATATTCAGTAATGAGGAAAGATCAAGTGTGGTGAGGCTCTTGTTGGTGCCGATGCCGTTGCTGCTGATCTTTGTTTAGACAGTGATGTTGATGTGGCATGTAACTAACAAGTCTGCATTTCCACTTCCTCTATTTTCTTTCCCCT